TCACACGAAAAGCTTGAACAAATAAGACTGCAATCTAACGTAAGAGTAGCGGAACTGATTAATTAAACGTTTCCTTTTGCACGGGAATTGTAGCAACGAAGGAGTACCTCACTCGCCAAGTACTGGAAAGAGCGATAACAGCTACTGGATTTGAGAAACCTATTTTCCTGAAAAAATGTTTTAAGTGATAGGTTATATAAATTTCATCCGTATATAGTAAAGGCTACCCAGTCAATGAATGCAAAATATTTCCTTATTGGGAAGTAGCTACTATTGCTATTACCGTTAGCTATTTTATAATTTACTTGTATATAAACACACATAGACACACAGACAGATAGATAGATTGATAGATAGATAGATATATAGATTTCTTTATATATCTATATGTGTGTAAATAATAGTTTTATAATCTTTACACAACACACACACACACACACACACACACACACACACAGGATATATATATATATATATATATATATATATATATATATATATATATATATATTTATTTTCATTTTTGTGTTTGTTAAACAATTACCTGAGGAACCTGGGAATTTCGATCTGCATAACAGATTTAGATAAACAATTCAACTGCCTTTCAATACTGGCGAGAGCATTGACATCGCCAGAACAATGGCGCGCAAATATCCCGTTTCTTTAAATAACGTTATCGCAAATATTCAAGAACTTGATAATTTGAACGTCAGAATATCAGCATTGAGCAAATTGGATATCAAGCAGAATTACTCGTTCGTACGACACCCATAAAATCTGCGGCCATTCAGTTTCATAATATATTTTCCTTGTTATAGATGCCGTTTCGCCGTCCGCTGATTTCGATTAACCGCGGCCAACATATGAAATAAACAATTTATAAGTTTTTCTAGCAAATAGTCCCGAAATCAGAATGATGACAAGAAAAATTCTAAGGGTCCTCGACTTAATAAGAAAAGAAAGAACTACCGTAAGAACGAATATTCTGTGCGTAACATTTATTCCAGTCTGTTATTATAATTGTTCTATTTTATTATTAGTTATTGTTGTTAATCTCTTATTGGACCTAATAAGATCTACGGTAGCAACGAATCTTTTATCCGTCACATAACGTTTATTACAGTCTGCTGTTATAAGTGTTCTATTTTATTAATGAATCGCTCAATAAATTGATATAATTTGTTGAAACAAATTTATTAATAAAACATATATTTAATCATATATAATCTCTCTCTCTCTCTCTCTCTCTCTCTTTCTCTATATATATATATATATATATATATATATATATATATATATATATATATATATATATTTATGTGTCCATAAAGTTCGTGTGCACTTTAAAAAAAAAATATAACTTTATTTGTATTTGCGATAGAAATAATCTGTTAAAATGTTATAAAGTTTAATGTACCTAGTTTTAACTATAGCTAAAATAACTAATGTCATTTCAGGCATTACTGTAAATCAGTTAACAAATGTTTTCCGTGAACTGCAAAATCGTATTACCCTTTGTATTGCTAATGATGGAGGACATGTGGAAACTTAAATAAAATTTCAATAAAACCTTAAAAAATATAGATTTACTTCTTTCTAATCCTTTTTACAAATTATTTCTATCGCAAATACAAATAAAGTTATAAAATTTTTAAAGTGCACACGAACTTTATGGACACCCTGTATATATATTTTAAGACATTTTTATGTTTATACATTCTTTTTGAATCAAATATTTAATTAATGCTCTGTTTATCTAATAAAATTATTAAAAAACATTTACCGGCCTGAAATGTCAAGAAATTGTCATAGAAAATATTCGTCCTCAAATTAGGAATCAACCTGTCTCTGTATTTCCCGTCATATAAATGACGTGCTTTTATCGATTATTTTTTACAAATTTTGATTCGGTTAGTTAAAGGTTGATTTTACTGTTTTTAATTTAAATTTCCAAAATCTCATTTATTTATATATATATGCTCGATGCGTCCAAATGTATAACATAAAAAAATCGTTAAAATAATTATCGGACTTTTCTCCATTTCTTAATTTTATTTGTTTATTTGTTTACATTTGGATACGCATCGAGCATATATAATGTAAAAAGACAATCCCGGAAAAAATAAATACGTAAAAAAACCTTTATAAATTTCTAGCTGATAATTTAAAATTTGAAAATACAATGGTGTCAATCGATTTCCAGCTTTTATATTATTTGTTTTTTGTGTGATACAGCGAACAGTCTGACATAATTATGAGTCTCTCTCTCTCTCTCTAAAAATATATATATATATATATATATATATATAATTTCTCCCCTCTGTTCTTGTAAAACCTGTTTGCAAATCAAATTTCTTATCAAACAATCCGAAAGCAGCACATGAGATTTGATTATATGGTGAATAAAGGTTTCGTGCAGGACCATCCACACTTTTTTTCCATGCTTACAGAGAATGGTGCACTACGTGTCTACAAGGTCCCAAACAACCCTCCACAGGTTTTGAATTCAAACTGTCCTTTTCCTAAACCAGTTTATTCCGAGGCTATAGAACCCAGTCTGTCCTTTATTTAAAATTTAGCTGGAGGGAAAAAGATTATTTCACACCTTTCCCAAAATATTAGAACGTAAGTGAATGTAATGGATTCAACCTTTATTAAAATTAATCTCTGCGATTCCTCCAAACCGAGCCGATAATTAATTATTCCACCGTAATTTTTTTATCTATCTCTTTTTTATATATATATATAAAATAAATATATATATATATATATATATATATATATATATATATATATATATATATATTTTATAGCATTTTTCATTCTTCTTTAATACAATTTTGTTCAAATATATATATATATATATATATATATATATATATATATATATATAAATGAAATATCAATTTCAGTTGAGCTCTCTGGGGACGAGGTGTGGGTTTTTAAATTTTTGATTGTCTTATTATAATTTATATAGCGAGACTCTTCAAAGATGCAAATTGAGTCACTGTAGGTCACTCTGCATGTTTCTAAAAATAAATACGCTAACAATCCATGCGACGGCTTAATGGTTAGAATCTCCGACTGACACCAAAAGTCAGTCGTTTTCAACATCTGAGCTAGAGGCAACGGATGTCTAGCCAACATCACATTTACTGCGAAATTGTCATAAATCTGTCTGTTTATATATATATATATATATATATAAAAGATAAAATAATAATCAAAAAATAATATAAAACCGATCCATCACATATCTTTTATTACAGTTTTTTGTTATAAATGTTCTATTTTATTAATAAGCATTTTGTGCTTTTTTGTGCCTAATAAGATCTACGGTGAGAACGGACCTTCTATACGTCACGTAGCTTTTTTTTAATATGCCATTTGGCCAATTCGCGTCTTAATTTACTGAGCCTCCAACCAGTCGCCATAAAGTATTTACTCTTAGTCCCAACGAACACAGAGAGAACTATTTTCTTTTCAGTAGATTCTGGCGGTGTTTAATGTTTTCACTGCTATAATTGCTTGTTCTTGATTCGTGTAATAAAACTATTTTTAATTGCATGGGTCTATCAATAAATATTACTTTGTTGATCGATTAAAGAAAAAAAAAAACATTGTTTAAGCATTTGCCTTTTCCATAAAGCATGTAAATGCATTTACAATGACAAATGACAGAAAGCAATGGCGAACTGAGTGTGCTGCAGAAACACTTCTAAGATTTCTCTAAAACTATTCACAGGATGGTATCGGAAACATTTTTATATTTGGCGAGGGATGATGAAACTTTCTGCCTCAACCCACAATAAGAATTTCAGGGGAGGGTCTAATGATCATACCAATAATTATATATAAAAGTGGACACTGAGGTCAACACAGAGAGGTCAAGAATGACATGAAAACTGGGTTTAAGCATGAAACAAACTATCGTTGGTTGGTGTTGAACTCAATGTCTACTTTTATTCTAATAATTAATTATCCCTCATATTGTTCAATAAAAAACCTATAAAATACAATATACTTTAAAACTATATTTTCACTAAAATATATATTCTCTTTTATATATATATATATATATATATATATATATATATATATATATATATATATATATATATATATATATATCGTCGGTATCCGTCTGTTTTTAAGAATTAAAATCCAAACAGGGTATGTAAAAAGAACTCGGCCTTTATTCAAAAAAAATATTTGAACACGGCTGCAGGAATTGCTGGAAGGTAGCAAAAATGTCCATCCGCTTTTTTTTTACAATTTTTCCAATGAGAAAATTTTTAAATTCAAATTGTCCTTCTCCAAGACCAGTTGCCATTCAAATAACCCAGTCTGTCCTGCTATTTTTTATATTAAAAGCTGGAGGAATAAAGAAGAGGATTCCCAAGGGTACAGCATATATAAGTATATGTAATGGATTCGACTCGTTTTTTCGAACTCTAGCTCTCCGATTCCTCAATCCAAATAATATGCTTATTTTATTTTATATTTCTGTGTGTGTGTGTGTGTTTCTATATATATATATATATATATATATATATATATATATATATATATATATATATATATATATTGTCTATATATATATATATATATAATATATATATATATATATATATATATATATATATATATATATATATATTGATATTGCACATAAAAACACAAATTTATAAATAAAATTTAATAAATGAATAATATATATATATATATTCATAATTTCGCTAAATAATGATCTTCCATTTTATTGATTTTTCCTTCTCATTTTTTAACCAATCAATATGATTCCGTTTCCATGTGTACTTATATTTTAATGTATTGATTTTGGTCTTTTCAAATAAGTCAAAATAAGTGAATCTATTTCATTCTATGAGCATCTGTTAATTTAATTTTTTATTTTCTATTTTTTGCTTATGAAAAATATTTGAATTTCTTTTAAAATTTCATATATTTTTATTTTTTTCATTCTTCTTTCAATATTATATATGTCACTTTTTTCTCTCTCTTGCTTATTGAGTGTTCATTATTCTATCTATCCATCTATAGTTCTCTTTCTTTCTTTCTTTCTTTCTCTCTCTTTCTCTTTCTTTCGCTCTCTGTCTTTCGTACTGAGCTTTCTTCATTATCTCTCTCTCTCTCATTATCTATGTATCTATTTATGTAAGGGTTTTACTTTGATTTTTTGTTTCTTTCTTTCTTTCTTTCTTAGTCCATTATTTCTCTCTCCTCATATCTATCTATCTATCTATCTATCTATCTATCTATCTATCTATCTATCTATCTATTTATGTTTCTTTCTTTCTTTTTTCTTTCTTTTCTTTTCTTTCTTTTAGAATTTTCTTTCCTAGTCTGTTTCTCAGTTCTACATTCATATCTCAATCTATCTATCTATCTATCTATCTATCTATCTTATCTATCTATGTTTCTCTTTCTTTCTTTCTTTCTTTCTTTCTTTCTCCTTATCTGTTCATCTATCTATCTATCTATCTATCTATCTATCTATCTATCTATCTATCTATCTATCTATCTATGTTTCTCTTTTCTTTTTTTTCTTTCTTTCTTTTCTTTCTTTCTTTCTTTCTTTTCAGTCTCATCTTTCTATCTATCTATCTATCTATCTATCTATCTATCTATCTTTCTTTTTGTTTTCTTTCTTTCTTTTCTTTTTTCAAAAAAATTCATCTTTCTATCTATCTATCTATCTATCTATCTCTTTCTTTCTTTCTTTCTTTCTTTCTCAGTCTGTTCATCTATCTATCTATCTATCTATGTTTCTCTTTCTTTCTTTCTTTCTTACTTTCTCAGTCTGTTCATCTATCTATCTATCTATCTATCTATCTATCTATCTATCTATCTATCTATCTATCTATGTTTCTCTTTCTTTCTCTCTTTCTTTCTTTCTTTCTTTCTTTCTTTCTTTCTTTCTCAGTCTGTTCATCTATCTATCTATCTATCTATCTATCTATCTATCTATCTATCTATCTTTCTTTTTTTCTTTCTTTCTTTCTTTTCTTTCTTTCTTTCTTACTTTCTCAGTCTGTTCATCTATCTATCTATCTATCTATCTTCTTTCTATCTATCTATCTATCTATCTATCTTCTTTTCTTTCTTTCTTTTCTTTTTTTTTTTCTTTCTTTCTTTCTCTCTTATTGTTCATCTATCTATCTATCTATCTATGTTTCTCTTTCTTTCTTTCTTTCTTTCTTTCTTTCTCAGTTTGTTCATCTATCTATCTATCTATCTATCTATTTTTCTCTTTCTTTCTTTCTTTCTTTCTTTCTTTCTTTCTCAGTCTGTTCATCTATCTATCTATCTATCTATCTATCTATCTATCTATCTATCTATCTATCTATGTTTCTCTTTCTTTCTTTCTTTCTCAGTCTGTTTATCTATCTATCTATCTATCTATCTATCTATCTATCTATCTATCTATCTATCTATCTCACGCTCTTTTCGCCTTTCCATCTCTGCTTCTTTCTTTCCTTCATTTACCCTTTTGTAGTTTTCCACTGACATTAAGTTCAATAATTATATTGTATTAATTGCTCGCTCTGCTGCTAGGAATGTCGCTTCACTCTATCGTGCTTGTCAATTTTTCATGACAGAATCTCTTTTGCACATTTATAAATTTATCATTCGCCCATGCACTTTTTTGTTTGCATTACGCATTGATTTTTAAGCCTTGATCTGTCTATAGATATACCACTGTCGGCAAGAAAGTACCATCGTGCATGCAAAAAAACCCCCAAAAACAAAACAAAACAAAAAAGCAAAAAAAAAACAACAAAAAATCGGAGTGTCAAAGGGACGGTTTTTCCCATGACACCGCTTTTATTTTAACTGCCTTCACTCCCTCGGCAATGTTTATTGTTTTAAAGAGCGATGATTAAAATTGTTATAAAACCTGAACAGATATGTATTTTTTAATCGATATCATCCAAGTAAGGCAAGGGGTTACAATCTGTGGAGGAATTAGGAACAGAAACATTAGTAAAGAGCAGAGAGAGAGAGAGAGAGAGAGAGATAGATAGATAGATAGAGAGAGAGAGAGAGAGAGAGAGAGAGACAAACAGACAGCAATTAGGAGGAGAGTAGATAGCGACTGACATTGCATTTAAAATTTTGCAGATTAAAGAGTTTATCCACGTTTTCTCTGTTTTCAGAGATATTTTCCTATCTATTGATACACGATAGATAGATAGATAGATAGATAGATAGACTGAATTAGATAGATGAAATGAACAGACTGATAAAGAAAGAAAAAAGAAGGAGAAAATTAGATAGATAGATAGATAGATAGATAGATAGATAGATAGATAGATAGATAGATAATGAACTGACTGAGAAAGAAAGAAAAACAGGCAGAGAAACAGATAGATAGATAGATAGATAGATAGATATTTAGATAGATATGGACTTTTGAAAGGCAGAAAGACAGAAAGAAAGAAAGAAAGCTTGGAAACATAGATAGATAGATAAATAGATAGATAGATAGATAGATAGATAGATAGATAGATAGATAGATGCATAGAAAATGAGTAACCTGAGATAGATAGAAGATAGATAGATAGATAGATAGATAGATAGATAGATAGATATCAGACTTAGAAAGGCAGAAAGACAGAAAGAAAGAAAGAAAAACATAGAAAAATAGATAGATAGATAGATAGATAGATAGATAGATAGATAGATAGATAGATAGATAGATGCATAGAAAATGAGTAACCTGAGATAGATAGATAGATAGATAGATAGATAGATAGATAGATAGATAGATAGAGAAAGAAAGAAACAAAGAAAGTAAAACCTTTAATAAATAGATAGATAGATAACGAACAGACTTGAGAAAGAAAGAAAAAAATTTCTTTAGAGAGAGAGAGAGAGAGAGAGAGAGAGAGAGAGAGAGAGAGAGAGATGGAGGGGAGATATCATACAAGACAACTTTTGCTATTTCCGTTCAAATTTTGATGTCATAATTTCTGTGGTCTAATCCAATTTAAATCCAAATCCAAATTTATGGTCTATTAGTTGAAACCCCCACTCCGATTATCCATGTCTTTAGGAGTGCATCCATACTCAATAAGTTTGGACAACAGTGGGTTGGTGAGGCTATATATTATAATACAAATTTTAAAAAAATGAAAACTATTCTTGTAAAAATTCATTAGTCATTCATTTTTTTTCTTAAGACAATAGTGTCTTTAATAAATTTTATTTATAAAAGCAATTAAAAGCTTTTCCAATTAAATAATATAGTTTTATTGCATTTTTCATTTTACGATTCGGAACAGATTTTCGGGAAATGAGCAGTAGCTTGAAAAAAAAAATGTTTACATTCTCCAATGAATCCTGCTTTTAACTAAAAAAAAAAAAAATTCGGATGAAAATTTAATTTCTAGAAATTTTATGAAATCTGGGTAACATATGTAGAAAAAATATTCTTACCAAGACTATCTAAAAAAAAATTCCATTCATTTGTGTATAAATCCTAAAGGTTTCATTAAAATCCGACAATTATTTGATTTTTGCAAGAATTTCCAAAGCAATGAGTTTTTCACCGGGAAAAAGACACTAAAATGCTAATCATAAATATTACATCGACCGCTGACACAAAAAACAAGATTTTTTACCAGAATTTCGAACGTGTTAAAAAAAAGTATTAAAGAATTTAATAGAATAATAAAATATACTTTGGTCTTTTCTCGTAATAATAACATAAACATTTTGACGATAAATCTTTGTTTTTTCTAAAATTTGGGGTCGTTTTTCATCATGCTATGCTGTTTTATCAGCGAAAAAGTGGTGGTACCTAACCTAATACGATTAAAACGTAACTTTATTGACGCCTGAAAGCCTCACTACTCATGACAAATTTATCAGAGACCGAGATGAAGTAGTAAATTTATGATAACTATTTTGAATGCAATAATTAGAAGTGAAGTCAGATCGCCTAATACGATTGAAACGTAACTTTATTGCCACCGGAAAACCTCACTAATCGTGATGAATTTATCCCAAACCAGGATGGAGCATTACTTTTAAATTAGATCCATGTAAATTTGAATACAGAAAAAGTTTGATTTATGTGGAGGTTAAAACATGCGATAGTACCAAACCTTATACGGTAGCAGGAAATTCGTTTCCTGTCAATATCCCAGTATCCCAACGGCATAAACAGCTTCTTCGGAAACGTTGTTAGTTTAATTTTGAAACACTGGACTTGTTTTACTTTCAAATGGACTCAAAATCTCTGATGTAACTGGGGAACTGACGCTCACCCCACACTCCAAACTTATAATTCCAGTCACCGACCTTCGAAGGACGAAGGGTGGGTTTTGGGGATATTTTATAGCAAAGTAAAGCGACAAAAAACTGTACATAGAAATAACCTCATTAGTAAGGATTCTGAATCGTTCCAACTCCCTAAATTTGTTTTGTGGCAGTTATTCTATCAGAAGGATTTTCTTCTTCTAAGTGCCGTGTCACTTCAAGATATGATCGATCATGGCTCTCCACTACTTCCTATCCTTTGTAGCTCTTAACAACGCTTTTCATTTTAATATCCATCTTATTCTCTGGTCTGACTCTATTGACCCATGTCCGTTTGATAAGTTACTCCTCTGTCTCTCTTTGTCTTCAATACGCCCTTTGAGTGTTAGATTTCCCAAGCTGTCTTTTCTCTTTCTGGTAGAAGAATCATTTGTTTTAAATTCAAAGATTTATTATATAAAATAATGAGTTACTCTTTCTTAATTCATCAGAGTAATTCAGGAAGTAAACCATTTTTAAATGGTCCTCTTTGTCTCTCCATTTCTCTCTCTATCTTTTGCTATGTCTCTTCAGGATTTTGGCGATCATAGGCCTCCATAAATTTATTGTATAGAATAAAGTGTCAGTCTTTCTTATTTCATCAGAGTCGGTCAGGAAGTAAACCATTTTGGATGGCCCTCTTTGTCCTCTATTTCTCTCTCGATCTTTTGCTAGGTCCCTTCAGGATTTTGGCGATCATAGGCCTCCATAAATTTATTGTATAGAATAATGAGTCAGTCTTTCTTATTTCATCAGAATCAGTCAGGAAGTAAACCATTTTTGAATGGTCCTCTTTGTCTCTCCATTTCTCTCTCGATCTTTTGCTAGGTCCCTTCAGGATTTTGGCGATCATAGGCCTCCATATATTTCTCTGTTGCTCTAAGTAATTCTAGTAATTATAAGGATCTATCTGCTACGTTTTTCATTATCTTATCTGTTAACTTTGCTTTTTCTCTGAAAATGTTTTTTTAATTTTGAAACACTGGACCTATTTTCCTTTCAAGGGCTCAGAATCGGATGTAACACCCGACACTCCAAACTGATAACTGCCGTCACTGACACAGGGTCGATATTCGAGATATTTTATAGGAAAATGCGTATTATACGCAGCAAAATAGGTAGTTTAATAGTTGAACTTCTGCATCGAATTAATTTTGCCGTCCCCAACATGTAGCTAACGCCTTAGGCTGTACCTTTTGCTGATGACTATGCGTTCCTTTTGTACTGTTAATAGCCCTTCTTATCTACCCATTACATTTTTTTGAGCATTGCACACCAAGCTAGGCTGGATTGCCTCTAGCGCGCAAGGTGTTACAGATAGTGAAGGTAAGAGAAAAGACTGGGAATAAGGGGTTAGGAAACGATTAAAAGAGGAACGGAGGATCAAATCATCAGAAGACGTCGATTGACATTACATTTAAATTTTTAAAAGTTATTATAAGTAAGAGGAAGGGAGTTCCACTGTCGGGAAGGGCGTGAGAAGAATCTGTTGGAGTAGAAGAGGCGGTTACATTTACAATTTTGAAGGTTATAGTTATTATAAATTATTTTTGAAGGGAAAAAAACTGTGGATTTAAAGGGCGAGAGAAGAATCTGTTGGAGTAGAAGAGGCGGTTACATTTACAATTTTGAAGGTTATAGTTATTATAAATAAGAGGAAGGGAGTTCCACTGTCGGGAAGGGTGAGAGAAGAATGTGTTGGAGTAGAAGCGGCGGTTACATTTAATCGTTTCGATAGTAAAAGGGTGGGACTGAGATGCCAAAATAGTAGCACGCTTAAATTCACGCAGTCGGGCACCAGAGAAAATAGCTCGTCAGGGCAGATGCCATGAAAATATTTGTAGAAAGGACAGAGGGAAGCCACGTAGATACTAAAAATTGTTATTTAGCTTGCGATTTCTTTTATTCTCATGATGATTGCCTCAAGAACATGAAGAAAAGCTAGGAAGAAAATGAATTCCTAGTTCTTAAAATTTGAGTGGTAATTAGAAAATTATAAACTTTTAGCCTTTAAATAGAAATAAAATTACATTTCCTCTGGACTCATATGTAGTGAAAGAGGCGAGTGGGGTCTGCGATTACTACACCATTAACTACACACACACTACGTCAATTGTACACGCGCGTGTGTGTATGTCTGCGTACAATTGAGGCGGTGATAATTAAAAATTAATTTCTGATTATATCAAATGTGTTCCAATAAT